GAACTCAGAGTCTAGTAGCTGAACTAAATATGTATGTGGATAAAGCAAATCCAATGTATACCATGATAAATGCTATACTAGCAGCTTCCACAAATGCTATGGGAGTTTTACTGAGGCAAACAAGCAAAGATATGGAAAGCTCTCTTATATGGGAGCTTTACATTCTCTTCAACACTCAATTAGAAGCCCTACTTCAAAATCATACAACCCTGGTCATAAATGCGACCCTTATATACACAGAAGAGCATAAGTCAAGGCCTAGCCAAGTGCCTGGCACATAAGAAACATTAAATGAAAGATAGTCCTCACCTCTTTCTCTCAACTTGGTGTCACTTTTGTGTTGCTAGCAATCACTGACTTAACAAAAGCCCAATCCGTCATTCTCTCCCCAAATGGAAGCTTTGTCATTTTTTTTTGCAATTAATGTTGGTAAACAACTTGTTTCATAGTTGCTCATATATTTCCCCTTTTTTAAATAAAAAGTCATACAGGGTTAAAGAAAACACTAAAGTCCATTTTGGTTGATTCTCGGTTAGCTGGTGTGCGATGGTGAGAGAGGCAGCCCAGGGGCGCCCATGTCCAGACCACTGGCCACATCCCTGTCTTGTTGAAGCCACATCTGCATCTCCCTTGTACCAGTGGGATCTCAGCCAGCCACTGTCATTCCCCAGAGGACAGGAAAACAGGGTTTTCCTTATGAATTTGGCAAAGAATTGTAGACTGCAGGCAGGGGGACGCTTGGAATGTTCTGTCAACCACTAGTAAATGACAACCCTTTGCTAGGGAGAGTGGTGACAGGGCTTGAGAGAGAGACAGAGAGGCTGTTTCCTATTAATGTGTAGCCCTATGGAGGAAAAAGATGAAAAAGAGATAGCAAATAATTAAAAATGCTTTGTCTCATGCAATATCCATGCAGATTCCTTTTCCTTAGAGTGAAGGTATATGATTGAAATCCTCTTCTTAATCCCTAGGGTTGTAAATTGTTTGTTTGGGTTGGTGTCAAGTCTGCTAAGTCAACAGTGAACCAACACCTAATGCACTCTATTCCAGAGGGACGTTGTTATGCTATTCTTCAACATCGTATAATGATGTCCACAGCTACTGTTCTTTGAATGTTGATTATGTGCCAATCATCCTGTTAGGTCTTGACACTATTTCTGTTTCTTGTGCTCTATCCCTGCTTCTCAAACTTTACTGCGTGTAAGAATCATCTGGGCATTTACTTAAAGTACAGATTCCAGGATCTCAACCATATGAATTAGAAGTTCTGATTGTGTCCCTGTTGATGAGGCCCAGGAATCTGGCTTTTAGTCAACCACCCAGTTGGTCCTGAAGTAGGTGGTCCACGGAGCACACTTTGAGAAACAGATTTCACAGTTAAAAATCATTATGCAGTATAGCTTCTGGATTAATATAAAGCAAGTTGATATCTAAAAACAAGTTTTATTAGCACTGGTTGACATAAAACTCTTTCTTGTTTTTGTACAATCATTACTGCCTGACTTCCTAGAACAAGCCAACAAGACGGACTTCAAGGTTTTACAAGAACATGCATCTTTTAAAAAAATGAGAACTGGTAGTATTTTTACAGACTAAGAACAACATCAAAGAATATCTAAGCCAGCTAAAGGAAACCGTATAATAGGTCATCACAGAAGAGCTGAAAGGAAGGAGGGCGGAGGATTATTCTAGGTCCTTGAAAAGCCAGCAAGTTAAAGAAACAAGGGTTTTGTCTTTTTTTTTTTTCCCTGAAGAAGGCCGTTAACCATTCTTTCTCTGGTCATCGCACATCTGCCCCGATGACTCAATAATTCAAGTTCCTTCCTGAGTCTGTGAAATCCCTTCACCAGGACTCGGAGAAAGGCGGGGACCTTGGGCATCCGGGGCAGGATCCCAGCACATGGTCCTGGGGCTGCACTAGATTTCTAGCAGCATCACACTAAAAGTTGCTTTAAATCATATTTTAAAAAAATGACAGAGTAGAGAGATATTTTTTCCTGTGTTTAAATCTCCCAAAATCAAGTAGGTAGGAGAAAGGAACAGAAGTTGCATGAATGTGGGAGGGGGTGGCGATGAGGAGAAGGAATGTGATTCTTCTTACGGTCAAAACAAAACTGACACAGGTGTTTTCTGAGTTACAAAGACCTGACTAATGAAGAAATTTCCTTTTTCTAAAAACATAGTGATTATATGTATATATGTATATGTATGTTTATATGTAAAATACATGAGACTACATGTATATATATATATATATACATATCTATAGCTGGTGTCTCACATGTCATGTCCACCATCCCATGTCTATGTACTGGTGAGCAGTGTGGGAAATTGGCCCAATGGATTCTCCTCCACAACTTTTATTTTCATTTGGGGAAGCACCATGCTCCCCTTCTGTCTTCTTACATTATAATTCAGACAGTCCCCCACTCATACTCATATTTTTTCATAATTCTATTTCCAAATCTTCAGAAAAATCCCCCACCTTTCCCCTTGCTCCCAGGCTCCACCATCACCTTCTATCCTCATTTTTTCCTTCTGCTTGTGCATTCGCAATGGCCTTAGTCATGGCTGGAAAGCATTAGAGCAGGCTGGTGATCGCCCAGTGCTGAAGAAGGAGGGACGCCAAACATTTTGAAATGAGGTCGTTATGATAAAGAGCCAGTGTCAAGAAACCACAAAAATCTTGGAAATTGTGAAGTCGTCTTCTTCAGAATCTCCAGTATCTCAATCTCGTTACCTCCCTCTAATTAAATCTGCCTCTACCAACCTTTCTGCTAAAACACAATTTCTTATTCAGTTTTATTTGGGTCGGTTCAGTTTTGTTCCTAGCATTGCTTCAATGTTTTCTACTGCAACTATACAGCATTTTAGCTACATTATAAAACTACTGTGGGGTTGACCCAGAAACCCAACAATGTAACATTGTTCTACGGGAAAACGTGTGCTAATCTCAATTTGCTGGCTGACAAATGATCCTGCGGGAACATTTGGCTCCATATGTGTGTGCATAGTGCTGGCCACATATAGGTGCTCCCCAACAACAAAAAGTTATTTCATTGAGTTGACAAATTGAGGACAAATGGGTATTGTATGTCACTGACGCAATCTATCTCTGAAAGATGCTTTTATGACAAGAAGTAACGTCACCACTGTATATAACTGCGATTTCCCAGAAAAGCCTCTGGGTTTCATTTTCTTTTCTTTTTTCTCATCTTATTCCCCCAGCTTAGAGATGATACCCTTTGTCTCTGCCTAGCCACAACCTACCTGTCCTTCAGGGTGTTCCCCACAGAGCCTTCCCTGGTGGCTCCAACCCATAGAGCCCATAACTACAAGTCTTTGCGGTAGGAGCTAATGTTTTCTGCATTCTCACTGTGTGCCAGTACCATGCTGAGCACGAAAAAGGCATTATCTCATTTAATGCTCATGGCTTTCTTATGAGGTGAGCACCATCATCACTCCCATTTTGTTAGAGAGGAAATTGAGGCCAACAGAAGTAAAGTAATGCATCTAGAAAATGGCAGAAGTGCCCAAGATCGGGACCCAAGCCATCCTGCCTCTAGAGCACCAGTCATGCTGTCTGCTCACATTCCCCATGTGTCTTCGTTGGACGCGCTATAGATAATACACAACATAGCACTTGATCGTATCGTGGGGTTTTTTAGCGCTAGCATGTTTTTCTTTTTCACTCTCTTAGACTGGACACTCCTCATGGTTAGGCTTCAGAGCAAGGGTCTTGGGCCAGATTCTGCAACTTGCTATATTTGTGCCTCCCCAAGCTCCCAGTTCCAGAGGCATCCACCTCAAGGGACTGTGGTAAGGATTAAAAGAAAATAATGCCTATGAAGGGCTCAGACTGGGGTGGCCCAGGGTGCGAGTGCAAACAGCTTTAGGTATTATGAGTCTTATGGCAGTCAGGACAGCCTTAAATCCACGGTGTGGTTTTCTAAAACTTCCTTCTGCAGGGACTCCAGTCTGCTCTGCCAGCCATTTTTGCCTCCGTGGCCTTGCCTTAGCCAACACCCTCTCCCTCTCCCCAACTCATCAGCAACGTGGAACATTTTATGTCTCTTCTCTGCCCTGCAAAGGACAAGGACCTTCGCCCCCAGAGCAGACCTGGCAGGAGTCTACACACTGCTGCAGGGAAAGGAGGATTGGGATGGGAGTGGGTAAATGTTCAGTCTGGTCTGAACTCTCCCACTGACCCCCTCCTACTCCTGGCTTTAGGCAAATCCTACTCCTGACTTCAGTTTCCTCATCTGTCACAAGACAGGATAGACCTGCTGACCCCTAAGATCTCCTCCAGCCTACAGCTAAGACTCTGAGATGTCTTTTTCTAAAGAAGGAAATCCTGAGCGCTACGCTGTTGACATCTTCTGCTCTTCATGCCTTCAACGTGATTGTATTTTTGTGAAAGTGTGTGTGTGTATAGGTATTTGTGTGCATCTGTGTGTCGTTGTATATGTGTATTTGTGTGCATCTGTGTGACTATATGAGTGTGTGTGCATCCGTATGTGACCGTACATGAATATTTTTTTGTTTTGTGTATATGTGTGTGTGTGTGTGTTTTAGCGTGTGGACATTCGCACAGGGTCGAAGCTGCTCAAACCCAAGTGACAGGAAAAGAGAAAAAAGGGTGGCCAGCTCACCTGTGCCTTCGGCGCGACCCACCCAGGCAGGGTCCAGAGGAGACCTGTGCACCAGGCGCTCGGCCTGGGCGCCGCCCTCGGGCCGGGAGAGCCAGAGCCTGGAAGCGGCCTGGCAGGCGGG